TATAAAAAAAAAAATCTGTAATCTGTCATTTCCCTTCCTTACAATTTTTGGACAATTTCCCATCTCAATGTATCAAAATTCATTCTAAACTTTAAAAAGAAAATCTTTTCTTCTTTTTTTTAATGATGTTTATTTAGCATGTATACAGTATTCTGCCTCCATGTATCCCTGCAGGCCAAAAGAGGGCAGTGGACCTCATTAGGGATGGTTGTGAGCCACCATGAGGTTGCTGGGAATTGAACTCGGGCCCTTCTGGAAGAAGCAACCAGTGCTCTTAACCTCTGTGCCATCTCTTCAGCCCTCCCCCCACAATATCTTTTTTCATTTTACATACCAATCCCAGTTCCCACTCCTGCCCTTCCTCCCATTTCTTCTACCTTTCCCTCCACCCCACCCCACCCCCTATCTACTCCCCAGAGAGGAGTACACACTGCCGGAGGAAGACCCTTCCCACTGTATCCAGACTGAGCAAGGTATCCATCCAAAGAGAATGGGTTCCAAAAAGCCAGTACCAGTAGTAGGGACAAATCCTGGTGCCACTGCCAGTGGACACAGAGTCTGCCCCAGCCACTGTCATCCACATTCAGAGAGTCTAGCTTGGTCCAATGCTGGCTCCTTCCCTGTCTAGATTGAGCTCATGAGCTTTCATTAGCTCAGGTAAGCTGTTTCAGTGGGTATCCACACCATGGTCTTGACCTCTCTGCTCACATTCTCATTCCTCCCACTCTTTAACTGGACTTTAGGAGACTTTTAAAGTCATAACACCAGAGTCCAACCAGTCTATTTGTTTTTAATTTAATCTTGAATTAACAAATAATCATTGTATATTTTTTCTGGGATACAATAAATACTTTGCAGAAGAATCAAAGCAGTTCAGTGATCTTATCTTTCGCCTCACTTATTTCTTGTTGGAAAGAACATTTTAAAATGTGCTATTAATAACTTTGAAATAGTTGGACAATAAAGACACACACCTTTAATACGAGCACTTGGGAGTCAGAGGCAGGTGGATCTGAGTTTGAAGTCAGTCTGGCCCACATCAAGTGAGTTCCAGGGCAGCCAGGGCTACATAGAGAAACCTGCCTCCAAGAAAGCACACAAACAAATTTCTGAAATAAATTTTGTATCCAGTGATCCACACCTCCCCCCTTTCAGTTCCATTTCCTACACTACATGTAGTGACTTCCACTCAATGCTATAGTTTTTCAAGTTTGGCAATTTCCTACTCTACAGAGTGCTAGCCTTTGAATGTGTTTGAACACCTGATCTTAGGAGTGTTGTTTTGGGATTTTGTGGAACTGGATGGAAAAAGTGCTGACCTGGCAGAAATATAGACTATAGGGGAGGGGATAAAAGAATAAAGGCCCCTGGTTCAGTCCATGATTGTGGTTTCCTGGTTGGCTGTGGAGATGAGTAACTAGCTCTCACTACCATGTCTTCCTGTCTCCCTTAACTTAGTTACCTCTTGTGAGGTTTTCTGGGCCACAGAGATGAGAAAAGTAACACAATATTTGTCTTTCTGTGCCTGGCTTATTGCACACAACACAAAACTCTCTAGATTTATCTAAGTTAATGAAAGTTAACAGAAATTTCTTTTTAAAGGTTGAAGCTTAGTTTAGTGTAAACTGTGTGCTTAGATGTGGGAATCCCTAGGTTCAGTGCCACCACTCAAGCAAGCCGGCAGGTAAGGCAAGCAAACAACAAAGGCTGAACAATATTCTATTGTGTATATAAAATGTTAAAGCTCCATTTAGCTGGGCAGTAGGTGGCGCACGCCTTTAATCCCAGCACTCGGGAGGCAGAGGCAGGTGGATCTCTGTGAGTTCGAGGCCAATCTGGTCTACAAGAGCTAGCTCCAGGACAGGCTCCAAAGCTACAGAGAAACCTTGTCTTGAACCCCCCCCCCCAAAAAAAGGAAAAAAAAAAGGTCCGTTTATAATGCTGAAATAAATACAGGGGTACAGATAGCTTTGATATACTAATTTTAATTCCTTTGGATATATTTGCAGAGGTGGAATTGTTGAATAAGTTAATTCTATTTTTAGTGTTTAGAGGACCTTCCAAAACCACTTCCCAAAATGGCTATGCTAATGTAATTTACATTTCTATCAACAACATACAACAATGTCCCTTCACATTTTTGCTAACACTTGTCATTTTTGACCTTTTCGATAACAGCCATTGTAAGAGATATGAGGTTAATTTCTCACTTCCTATTCTCATCATTCCCTAATATTTTTGCTCTAGAAGCAGCTCAGCTGTTTTACAGGACTTCCTGTGCACACTGCTCCTTCCAACTCTGCCCTGTATCCCCCGGCTCGTCTCTAGTGAGCACGATGCATAAGGAGTACTAACTACGTCATATACTTCTCACGCAGCCCTCATGCAAATTAAGGAGACTTCCACTTGCTGTCTTCTAAATACAACCACATGCTCTATAAACAACCCAGCAGGCATCACAAAACCACTAGAAAACTAGAAAGCAAGTGAACTGTTCCGCTACTACAGGATCCGAGGAGGTACACTGAGGTAAACTGCTTTTAAAACTTTAATAAAGCCTATTCATGGCATTAGCTGCCTGCAAACTAGAACCACCATTAAGCATACAAGGAAAACAAAACAAAACAACAAAGTAAACCTAAGGAACGCTCACTGTCTATGGCCAGAGAAAAAGAATAGCGGAGCCTACCAGGGAGTCCCAGCCCGCACTCCACACAGGCAGGGTGGCGAATGTCCCATCCGTGGAGCCTGCTGTCTCAGGTCATCAACGCCCTGACACCTGCTCAGTAGCAGAAATCACAACATGCTTGGTTTGACTTCCCTCATCAGTGAAAGGTGGCCTAGCAAGGTGACCCAGGAAAGTTCTACTCTTGTAGAACTGAGTACACAGGCAAGAAGAAAGGAGCGTCCCAGATGCCTACAAAGAAACCTCTACACAGGTCAATGAGAACAGAGAATTCTGGGAAGAGGAAAGCTTGGTCAGCAGTCCTGGTCCAGCCACAGAAGAAGTAAGATGTGACTGCCCCGCCACATGGCTAGCATGGACAAGAATAATGGGCTAATATAAGCTGTAAGAGTTAATAAGAAGCCTGCGATACTAGGCCAATCAGTTTATAACTAAAAAAGAAAAAAAAGAAAAAAGAAAAAGAAACCTCTACAGCTAACATATTCAATGACTGAAGGAAAGGCAGTCCGTCTCGGCATTCTTACCCGGTAGAGTAAAGGTAGTAGTACTGGCCAACACGTCGGAAAAAGGAAAACCCATGGAGAGAATGGGGAAAGAAAAATGCATGCCTGTGACCAATACACAGGATGTCATGAAAATTCACAAAGCATTCCATATTTTTGGAGTTTTTTTTTTCCTTCTAAGAAAGAACGTGAAGTGAGCTGGGGGACATGGGAGGAGTTGGGGGAAGGGAAAGAATATCACCAAAATATATTGAAAGAAATTTTCAAAATCAAGAATATTAAAAAAGGAAATCAAGTCTATATGGAGATGACATGATTATCCATGCAGAAAGAACTATGGAGTCTACTGAGAAATACCTAAAAATAGTCATTTCAGCAAGGTCACAGGTTACAAAACAACAGGCAGTTACCCTCACCTTTATATAGAGAAATGTAAATTAAAAGTACAATTTATGGGCTGGTCAGATGGCTCAGCAGTTAAGAACACTTGTTCTTAGAAGACCTAGGATCAAGAGGATCCAGGTCCAGAGACCCACATGGTGGCTTACAATCATCTGTCACCCTCTTCTGGTCTCTGCAGGCACATGCAAAACACTCATATACATTAAATAATAACGACAATAAAAGAACATTACACATTTAAAAACCCTACAATGTATAATAGCTCAAGAAAAATATTTAGATATACTTTACAAAACAAGGGTTGAACCTATATAATGAAAGAAATCAAAGAAAACCTAACTAATTTTAGAAAGCATGCGTGCAAACGGGTTGGAACACAACATACAAATGAACATACCACATCTCCTAAAATGCTGCAATTTTCTTCTTTTGATTTTTTGAGACAGGGTTTCTCTGTGTTACAGTCCTAGCTGTTCTGGAATTAGCCCTTGTAGACCAGGCTGGCCTTGAACTCATAGAGGTCTGCCTGATTCTGTCCCCTAAGTGCCGGGATTAAAGGCGTGTGCCACCAATGCCCAGTTTATGCATTTTCTTAAACATCTAAGAGTTTATGGTTTGTTTTGTTTTGTTTTTTTTCTAGGCAGGGTTTCTATGTATGACTCTGGCTGTTCTAGAACTCGCTAGGTAGAACAGGCTGGCCTCAACTTCTTGTTAAATCCAGGCCCCCATTCTGGTAAACAGCCACATAGTCTCCTTTAATGTTGTTTTAAGTTTCAACATAAATATGACAATTGAAAATTGCTTTAACCTCAGGTCAGACGATGGTGGCGCACACCTTTAATCCCAACACTTGAAGGCGGAGGCCAGTCTAGGCTACAAGAGCTAGTTCCAGGACAGGCTCCAAAGCTACAGAGAAACCGTCTTGAAAAACAAAAAGAAAAGAAAATTGCCTTAACCTCTGTAATTTTTGGTTTTACTTTTACTATTAACAGTTTAAAATTAGTCTTTTTGTCCATCCCACCCCCCGAAAGATTTCCATTTTACCATGTATAAAAAAATAAATGTATAACTACATAATGGCTTTTTGTTGTTATTTTTTTACCTTGAGGATAACTCTACTGCCTTAAACCTTTTTTTTTTTTTTGAACATTGCTATTCCAGGTAGAATCCGCCTGTGCGAGTAACTGAACAAAGAGGTTCTAGAAGCCTGTCTAAATCAGCACAGGAATCACAAACCACCTAAAGTTGGTTCTCAGGCATCCATTCCTAAAATGTACTGTGATGACCAGGTGTGAGGTGTGAGATGGCCAATAGCTGCCTGGGAACTTGGTGCATAGTCCCCGCCCTGTCCTGGTACCCCAAGATCAAAGCCAACAGCAAACGGCAGGGCTCTAGCTATGTCAGCTTACGAGTAGTTCTCATCCAGTGGAGCAGTGCTGGGACATCTGCTGGAGCCGTAGTACCGAGCAGCTGAAGCACAGCTCGACGAGCGGAGCCAAAGTCCATTCCGCTGCCTGCAAGCACAACACGAACACGTTCGCACTGAGCACGCGCAGACAGACCCCGCGCTCGCCGCCACCCCGCCCTCTGTGGAGACGTCACTCAAGAGGGCCGGGCCGCTAAGCCCCGCCCCTTCGGGGGATTCCCGCCTCTGGCGGTTGCGGAAGCCCCGGTCCTCTTGCACACTGTTGCCTAGTCGCTCTTTCTCCAGGTGGCTCTTCGAGTCCTGACTGTCCCCCGAGATAGCACCCGGAGAGGGCCGGTTTCGCCGTTAGCCTGCCGCCGCAGTGACGTATAGGTAGGTCAAAGGTCAGCCCAAGCAAAGCACGCCCCCAACCCTTAGCGTAAGCTGCCGCCGAAACGCGGCTTTGTGCCCCGGAAGCGGAAGTGTGTTTTCTCTACTAAGGGCTGGCCCACGCTGAGTGATGACGTCCCCTCATTGGGCGGAAGGTTCGGTGGCTGTCGTCGGCGTTCCAGCTGGTGGGAGTTGGCTTCACGGTGCTGGGCGCTGGGCCCCTTGTGTCTGTGGCTGGGAAGTTGGGCTGCGGGGTCGTCCCTGTCCTTCTGCTTCCAGTGTTCCTGGGTGTCATTCTGCGGCGCGGGGCCTCGCCACGGACTCGCCGGCCCTCGGGGGCCACGGCTTTAGTGGTGCCTTTCGCGGTGAGTGTGGGGGTTTTCCTCGCTCTGCGCTGCTGAGAAGGTAGCCGGGGCAGCCGGACCCCTAGTTTGGGCGAGACGCTTCTGCGGGAGTTTTCCCTCTTCGCCGCAGGCTGCGATCGCCGAGGCGGAGGTGCCCCAACACTTTTCTCTCTTGTCCCAAGTTTTACTAAAGGATGCGCTGTTTACCCTCTTAATTTGTCTTCAGATTTATCCGAGCCAAATAAGATGTAAGCATTTGTAGTGTCGATGGCTTTCCTGAACTAATTTAGATGAGGCTACTTGCTCAAAGCCTTCTGATGTGTACTGGATTTTGTTTTCCTTTTAGTTCTTAACATATTGTTCTTTCTGCGCGTAGTAGATCTTGGCTAAAAGAATAAGGTAGTTCAGTGACAAAGATAAAATTAGTGACGACTTTGTTTTTTATTAGTTTACAGTACTGACAATGCATTTGTTTTTTGAGACTCCACACCCCCCCCCCCTTTTTTTTGTTTTTCGAGACAAGGTTTCTCTGTGTAACAACCCTGACTGTCCTGGAACTCGCTTTGTAGACCAGGCCGACTTTGAACTCACTGAGATCCATCTGTCTGTGCCACCACCTCTAAGTTTATATCGATTTTCTTGTTGCTAGTCTCACTTAGTTGTTATATATGCATTTGAACAAAATGTTTATGGGATTTTCTTTTCTTTTTTTTAAACTGTAAGGATAAAGTAATGAAGGACACAAGCCTCAACGTAGAGATGCTAGGAGTGCAGAGGAGGACAAAGCCCATACATAGTATATCATAGCCTGACGAATAATGAGACAGTCTTTAGGCATGGAGAGGTATGGGATGAAAGTTAATTGCTCCTTAAGAGATTTGTCTGAACTACTTGCTGTTGAAATCAAGCGTCCATTTCCTAACAGGCTTATGAGGATGGAAGAGAGTTAGGTAGCACATTTAATACAATATCTAGGACATACCAGTAGTGTGCAAAAGAGGAGGGAGACGGTCCCTCGAACCTGTGCATCTCGACTTTTTGAGTCTGAATAGTCTTTTCTGACTTAATAAATAAAGAGTACTATACAAGGCGTGCTCCTGTACGTTCTGTGCCTGCTATGGTAGCTTTTTTTTTTTTGCTTTTAAGGGTAGATTTTTTTTTTTTTGTCAGTGTGCTTTTGGAGTAAAAACTTTTAGTCTCTTGAGATGATTTTGTCTTGGTTGATCTGCTCTTACATTTGCCCCTTATTGCGAGAATGCATGATCTTCATCTGTTCCCCTTGAGTGTGCTCACCTACATGTGTTGTGTCCATGCATTATTCCCATAGGCCATGTCTTTTTTTTTTTTCCTTAGCCTTCAATTTGAGAGTTTTGCACTTTCTGTGGACTCAGTAGGCCCAAAGCAAGTTCACTGCTTCCATCTCCCGTTTTCCGCCAGGTTGTGTGCTATATATGTTGAAATGTATAGAAGCAATGTGTTTTTTGTTGTGTAATGTGTATGTTCAATTTTTAAAAAGACTAAGCCACATGTGCCTGGCTGCTTTGTAGGCTGGGAAATAATTTGAGCACAGGCATTGGAGGTGAGCCTGGGCATCATTATCAATACCCCACTCCTAAAATACGCAACAAAGCAGTGTAATAAAAGGAACACTTATCTAGACATTTTACTTAAGTTGTAGGACATTATGAAAAACTAAGACTCTTGGATTTTTTTTTTTTCTGTATTGATCTTTCTAACTTTCACAGCAGCTTCCTTTTGCTTCCCGTTCGTTGGTTAATGCTGTTGTTAGCCGCCTGGCTATTCGAGAAACGCTGGAATAACTTTTGCCTTGTTCCTCTTCTTTTCACAACCATTTGGTAACGAGTCCTGTAGACTGTCTCGTGTATTTGTTGTTGTTAAGGACCACTTTTATTTCTCTTGTAAACTTTGGGAGTATGGCTAGTATTTGTAGATTTCTGACTCTCGGGTTTTTTTCCATTGGGTGCATTTGCTGTTGGTTCCAAAGATGTTTTTATTCCAGATATACAGGTACATATGTTTATGTGTGGACATACAGTTTTTGTTTTCCTTTTTGAGGCTAGATCTTAATATGTTGCCTTGGCTGACCTTGGAGCCATGGTCTCAAGTGATCCTCCTGGTAAAATAAAGTATACCTGTAATGTTTCTCTACCTAAGATATTTTAAAAGTTGAGGACAAGCTGGGCGATTGTGGTGCACTACTTAATCTCAGCACTGAAGAGGCAGGCAGATCTCTGAGTTCGAGACTAGCCTGGTCTATGGAGTGAGTTCCAGGACAGCCAGGGTACAGAGAGGAACCCTATCTTGAAAACAAAACAAGCAAACATTGAAGACAGTTTCATTCCTGTGTTTGACTTGAGGAACACTGCTGAGTGCAGAGATCGCTAGACCTGGCCGCACCTCAGGGTCTATAATGGCTTACTTTGCTTTTCTAAACAAGAGTTTAGATAGGACTGCTTCTCTAAAACATTTTATTGTTTTTCGCTCTGATGTCATTGTCCCTGGAGACTCTGACAGGATTTTATTTTGAGCTGATAGGCACTGTATAAATGTAACTAATGGAGCATTGCTTGTGCCTTCCTCTCCTTTTCCGTTCTCCCCATCAGTGCTCTCTTCAGTTTCAAAAGCAGCAACTATTTCCAAGGTTTTTGTGTTTTGTTTTGTTTTTGCAGTTTTCCTTTTGGCAACATTTTGTTCTTGTAAGTTTTTTTTTTCTTCTTTTCTTTTCCTTTCTTCCCCCCCCCCCGCCCCTTTTCCCCTTTTCCCTTTTTCCTTTTTCTTTTCTTCACAGGATCTTACTATGTAGCCCTGGCTGGCTAGAACTTGCTATTTAGATCACACATGTAGGGCACCGAGGTCTTCTAGGAGTCTCCCTTCCAAAGTAAAAGCTGTGCACTACTACACTCACCCTTTTGTTTTTGTTAGTTACTATTCTCGTTGTTTATTGGGTGTGGTATGGGGAAGGGAGGGAGGTATATGTTTATGTGTTTGAGCATGTGTACATGTGTCTGCAGGTCTGAAGAAGAAGCTAGAAGAGACTGTTGGATGTCTTCTTCTGTTCCTCCTTGCCTAAATCCTACCTAACAGGGTCTTTTTTTCTTTTTATTGTAAAATTTTTTTAAAGTTATTTTTTAATTTTTGAGATTATAATATAATTTTTTAATTTCCTCCTTCCCTTTCCTCCCAGTAAATCCTCCTATATACCCTTGCTCACTTTAAAATTCATGGCTTTTTTATTAATTGTTGTTACATACATGTATGTATATGTATATATTCCTAAATACATAAATACACCCGTCTCTATATGACTTGTATGTAGGTTTTCAGGTCTGACCATTTGGTATCAGATAACCGGTTGGTGTGTTTGTCCATGAGAAAGACTGTTTCTCCTGCTCTGAGCATTCCTTAGTTTCCTGTAATTCCTGTGTAAGTTGAGGCCAGCTGAGAGCTGTTGGTTACTGCAGGGTGTGTACCACTACTGCACCCTTGCTATATCATCATACCATACCAGTTGCTCTGCTTTATAACAGTTATAGCTGGGTAGGACCATTGGTTGCTTCCCTCCTTTTGAAGCTTGCGTGGAGCCCTCTGCTATCCAGAAAGCTAGTCTTCAGGGAGGGAGATTTCTGCTCCGAGGTCTTTGGGCCCTGTGTCTGAACTACTTCTGGAGCGGGGAGCAACCAAGGGCGATAGCAATAGCCCTTCATGTTTTGGGAGTCTCTTGCACAACCCAAAAGAAGCCTTCTCATGCATGGTGTTGCATTTTTATTAGATGGTCTTTGGTTCTTGGAGGGAACATTGTTAGTCTAGATGAGAAAATTTCATTTAAACTATATATGTATATTTATATTATATTGTATTTTTTTTGTTTTGTTTTTGGGTAGAGTATTAACAGTATGACTTCTTTCAAACACCCTTATTTTGGTTGTTTTACCCTCCTGTGTAACTCGAATTCTGATTGGTCTTAATAATAAAAACCTGAAAAAAACAAAGCAAAACAAAACAAAATAAAAACCTGGAGTCAGATATTAGGGGTGAAAGACCAGAGAAGCAGTGCAGCCAGCCTTTTACCTGTACTGAATCTTCAGACTGCACCTCTGACTACATCTGAGCTCCTGTCTCCTACCTTATATTCCTCTCTCTACCCAGCCACATCACTCCTGTCTCCACCTCCCTAAATTCTGGCATTAAAGGTGTGTGAATCCCAAGTACTGGGATTAAAGGTGTGAGCCACCACCGCCTGGCTCTGTTTCTCTTTTAGACTGGCTCAATTTCACATAGCCCTGGGTGGCCTTGAACTGACAGAGATCCTTTGCCTCTGGCTGGGACTAAAGGTCCGCCACCCTGCCTGACCTCTACGTCTTAGCTCTGCCCTCTGATCTTCAGGCAACTTTATTTGTTAGATTACAAACAAAATATCACTACATTCCTGTCCGTCCTCTCTATTTATCCCCCTCCTCTACCTAATTAGAAT